CCCTACAGGTAGACACAAGAGGGATGACTCCTTGTGATTTTCCTTCTGATAGATCCCCTTCCTGGATTTTTCCACAGAAAGGAATTATCGCAGTCATGGGTCCTGGCTGAAGTCCCAAAATTTCAACTGTGTGTAACTGACTGGAGTCATAGTGCAATTACCCAGGCTGAGGTTCTCAGTTTCAAGTGAGAGCTCAGACTTTGAATTCGGGAAGTGTGTAAAAATCCTTTCTGGAGTCAAAATGAGAAGTGGATGGATATTAAGTGATTGGATGAGGAGTCCTGACTAAGGCTTTATTCCACAGAAGAGTTAAAACAACATAAACATGAATAGGCCCTTGGACTTGTTTTTTAAGTTGGATCATGTGGAAGTCTTTAAGGATGAATATTACAGAAAAACAAGTCAGTTTACAGTCATAAAGAGGGAGAACATAATGAGGACTGGTAACTAACTATTCTTTCTCTTATTTGCCAGTATCAAAATTCAGGATTCCCTCTCGGAACATCCAATCAATGCAATTAGTGTCGTTCCATGTCCTGCTTTGTTATAGGCATCCAAAAGACCTACAGATTGAACACGTTTCCTTAAAGTGTGATTGCAGCACATGGAAAGACAATGGTTCCTGGACATTGCACACAGCCTTTTGCGAACTTGCCATGTTGCATCTTTAATTCAATCAGGGAATATTAAAGGAACCATTAAAGACATTGGCCCTTTTTTTTTTCAATCAGTATGACCTCAGGTGACACCAATAGGTTTAGCATAATGCCAAGATATTAAGAAAAGAATATGATTATAACATCAGTGACCATTATGGAAAAAACTAATGAACCTGTCAAACTTATCATTAATTTTAGACACACAGAACAAAGCATGACATTGGAGTGAACCACTGACTGTATTATATCACCAGAAATTATATGGTCCTCACCTTATCTGAATCAATAAAAAATGCTATTTAGTCTCCATAAACTTTCAGACAGTCATAATATACCTTATTCCTAAATATATAATTTCTGTTCTTTTGCTGAACACTTACATCCTCAGTGTCTAATATCAGTGAAACTTGCAGTGAATAATTTCTGGATATGTAAGAAAAGCATTTCCTTCAGATAAAAAAATCCAAACTATTTCTGCTCCATGTGTCGAAAACAATTTTTAAAAATATCAGAAAATATTCTGTGTTTCTATTCTGAGCAATACATAAACCACCCCTAGTGAGTGCTATGAAGGGGAAATGATTTCTACATTTACAGGAAATGTAAAGGCTGCCAACCAACATTTTGTGTACATCACAAATTATTTATCCCATTGCAATCTTTTCTGACAACAAGGTAATTGCTTCAATAATACAAAAACTAGAAAATAGCTTTTGCCACACAAATCTTAGTAGTACATAAAATAGAAAGTAGGGTGTAACTATTGAACAGAAAATCATATTATGAGGAATTTATTTCTTCATAACACAATTCTTTCACATTGAATTCAAAAGATCGTTTCACTTTTCCTGGAGATATTTTCTTTTATTTTTTGTTATCTGAAAAGTTCCATATATATCTTATAGTTACTAGGAATACTCATTGTTGGCGAACATCATTTTGCATCACATCAGAAATGCTTCTTTTCTTTAGAAATAAATAAAAAGGAAGATCAAAAAGAGCTGCAAACATTAAAAATCTGACATCAAAAAGGATGAAAAATTTGTACAAGCCATGTCAGATAAAAAGTGTAGGGCAGCAGTGCCAGAACAATGCCTGCAATGTGATCAGAGAAAGGAGGGTAGCTAATGAGTCGACTGATACTAGGCATCTTACTAAGGCAGTTTGATCATGGAGAAAAATGTATCATTTTAACTCAGGCTGTTCTGTAAGGAAACTCCTTTTCGGTAACTCTGTTAAATGAGCCCCAAAAAAATATTTTTTAGAAAGCTCTTTGATGTGCCTCCCTATAACATAAAAGCCAAGACCTCTGCCTGCCCTTCAAGAGCACATTAGAAATGTTATGAGGAACATTAGGCCAAGGAAGAAATTGCAGGCTCTGCGGCTGCAGGGGAACGTGAATTCACCTTTTTGCTGAGCAAGTGAACTACACCAGAATGTTGGAGAAATGCCTCTACTGTGTGCTTCACTGTCTGTGTTCAAACCGTGTCGCCACAGCTTGTCTTGAGCAAATTTTCAGTAATATTTAGATAATAAAGCAAAAGATCCAAAAGATTTCCTTAACTCATGACTCAGTTCAATATGTGACAATTTTTGGACACTCCGCTACCCCAATGCACTGGAGACACAAATTGGTGGTATGCTCAGTGGCCTGTTGCGGTGGATCTCTACATACATTTACCCAACTTCCTAACCACTGAAAGAAGTTGGACCTCTGTAAAGTGTCCGATGATACGAAAGTGCAAAGTCAAACGTGCTTGTGGCAACACTGTTTTGCAGGTGTGGTACGAAAAGCGTCCTGCAGCCCTCAGCCTCCGGGGTGCACCCTGGCCGTACCCCAGCGAAGGACACCCGCTCTGGTCGCGGGGCAGGGACGGTCCTCTGCTCCAGATAATCAGGAGCGCACACTTTCTGAAGGAAGGCATTAAGACCTGAGCTGACAATATGGCACTAAAAAGCCAGGAGGAGAATGAATGCTCCATCTACTGCTGAAGTTAGGCTGATCAAGGGCGGGGGGGCGGGGGGCATTTACAAATATTAAAGGTTTTTTTTTAAATCATAGACAAGAGATTTTGTCACAGTTTGCTGTGCCGTCATCAGTGATGAGCTATTGATGTAGCATGACACAAATAAAGAAATACAGCAATAATAATCTCTTCATCTTGTTCAGTTTTTCCTGTGCCCCATAAGTGTCATACCTTCTTCCGAGTATTAAGGTAGAATAAAGGAAGTAAATGACAGTTTCAGACGGAGTGTTTTTGATAAATACAAGTTGTTACGATGGAGGTTTATTGTTTCAATTTTTCTTAATACAGAACCCACTGCTGCTCCCATCGATGTCAAAGCTACAAGTTTGTCTGTATCAGAGATTCTTGTTGCGTGGAAACATATTAAAGAAAGTCTCGGAAGACCACAGGGATTTGAGGTATGAACACAGAATATCATAATGAGAAGTCTCGTTGCTTTTGCTAGCGCTGCATTCTGTTAACGTGCATTAGTGAAACTTCAATAGAAATTATGCTCGTTTTAGCATACATATGACTAGCTGTAGAACAACGGTCACAGTTGTAGCACCAGCACATCTTTTATTTATTTCTGCTTGAAAACTGTTCAACACCAGTTCTTATAACATCTCTTTGACACTTCAAAAAGAGCTGAAAGAACCGCAGGTGACCCAGCATGCCTCTTTCATAGGCTGGGGAAGATTAGGTATTGACTGTTTCCAGCTCTAAGTGACCAGTTCAAACTTGTTATTTACTGAGAGCAATCAACAGGGAGAAAGGAAAAGCCTCCGCCATCCATGTGCTCTCATCCCGCAGTGGCCGGGGGACATCTGCTGGGCAGATGGTACGAGGTCGGGAGTCAGGAGGGGAAGCAGCAGCCGCACCATCCACAAGTAAAGGTCTGCTTTAGAGACAGCCTTTCCTGATTGGGAAAGAGAAGCGGCCCTGGCAACGGACCTTGAACACTTTTGGATACAGCTGTAGCTTTCGATCCAGTTTAGAAGCCAAACCTCCAGGAACAGATCAGATCTAGAACTAAACCTCTCCGGTGGGGCCACCACTACCCATCCTGATCTTGTGGTTCAGGCTATGCTGCTCCTCATTAAATAGCTCAGCTAGATTAAATTTATCGATTTTGGGGTGCAGGTTCTTTGATGTGCTTTTGTTCTTTAGAGAGTGCTGACTCTTTCCTGATTCTCTACAGTAAAAATTAAAAAAGGGTAAACATACCCTGGGCCTCATCCAAAGCAGTGTGGCCAGCAGGTCAAGGGAGGGGATTCTGCCCCCCTACTGTGCTCCAGGGAGACCCCCCTGCAGTGCTGCATCCAGCTCTGGAGCCCTCAGCACAGGAAAGACATGGACCTGTTGGAGCGGGGCCAGAGGAGGCCACCGAAATGCTCAGAGGGCTGGAACAGCTCTGCTGTGAGGACAGGCTGAGAGAGTTGGGGTTGTTCAGTCTGGAGAAGAGAAGGCTCTGGGAGACCTTCTTGCAGCCTTCCAGGATTTAAAGGGGGCTTATAAGAAAGATGGAGACAGACTTTTTAGCAGGGCCTGTTGCAATAGGTCAAAGGTCAATGGTTTTAAACTAAAATAGGGTAGATTTAGGCTAGATCTAAGGAAGAAATTTTTGCCAATGAGGGTGCTGAAACAATGGCACATATTGCCCAGAGAGGTGGTAGATGCCTCATCCTGGCAACATTCAAGGTTTAGGTTGGACAGGGCTCTGAGCAACCTGATCTAGTTGAAGATGTCCCTGCTCACTGCAGGGTGTTGGACCAGATGGCCTTTAAAGTCCTTTCCAACCCAATCTATTCCATGACTCTATGTAGATCTAAGGATGATACCAATGATATGGATGTCTAAAGACATCTTGTGACCTACTAGCACAGAGTGTCTCCCTGGCAGCATGTCTGGGCAAGACCTGGGGACTGGTGACCATCACCAATGGCCTAAGGAAGGAAACGTAGGTGCTAGGGAAGCACCAGTGCCACCACACTCTCCAGCACAGCTTCAGGCTGGACGACCTTGACCAGGACAGCATGTTTACTCCACAGCTTAGACATAGTCAGTTAGTATTTTTTTACCTGATTTGCTGTAGCTTCTTGATACTTGGATGCTCCCATATTGCTCTCCAGCACAGTCCAAGCAGGCTGTGACCATGATGTTTCCTATCAGGTCTCTCATTTGTCCAGATCTCTTTCCCATATGCATCTCCATGGTGAACTCTGCAAACTCTCTTGTACTTTATCCTCATTTCTTCCTTAACATTAAACATGTTTTCACCTCTTTGCACATGGCTTGCTTCATGCAGCGAAAGTGATACCTAACCGTTTTACTTCCAGAACTGCTATATATAAGGAGAAGAAAATTGTATCTGATAGAGATTATATTCACCTTGCAAATGTTATCCCTCTCCATGTTGAAGTGTTCCACTTGCTACTAACCTTTGCCTTCAATTTCCAGGCCAGTCTTCTATTGTCTGAAATAACTTACTCACTGCACCCTGTCTTTTTCTCTTCAGAAAGGTGGCTGGTTTGTTACATCCTCTCAGATATCTTGATGTCTTTTAAATTAGACCTACTATTTTTACTCTTATCCTCATTCCATCAATCACACTGATTCTCAAAATGTTGCATTAACTTTGGTTTGCATTTTTTTTAAATAAAAAATAGAATTTCTTTCTAAAAGTTAAAATGATTTCGCTAGAAACTTATTATTTCATGACTTGAATGTATTTTGCTTGTCACGTAAGACTTCCCTTAGCTCTAGAGATGTGTCCCAGTGATAGGTGACTGTTACAGATAGGACAGTGGGCTCTTTTCATATCAGAGGTGGTCTTCCTGTCTTGGAAAGTGTTTAGATCCTCAGAGTTCAGTGTACTCTGACCCCAGCTGTAACACTCACCTGCTCTACTCTCATGGACTGCTTAGGAATGAATTTGGAAACTGTTATTGATACAGCATGGGTTATTAACATTGAAGCTTATTAATAATTAGGCTCCTCACTGTGCTGTGAGGCACCAATTTTAGGATTCTAGCATGAAGATTACAGAGTAAATATTTCAAGCCAGGGACCTGCGACTGACAGAACAAGAAATGAAATATAAAAATAGAAATATTTCACTGCTCCTTTCTACCTCATCCCATGAGGGAATTAGAGGAGCCTTCTGAGGTACTACTTTTATCTGGGGAGAGGGAGATGCTTCCCCCCACCACCACCCTTTCCCTCTTCATTCATTTAGCCAGAATTTCTCTGCCCATTTTCTGACAGACAAATCTTTCAGGGAGTAGTTTACTCTTTTCTGTCCTCATTCCCAGAAAGAATTATGATCAAGGCAGCCCGTACTCAATAAACAGAAGACTAAATGCTGCTCAGCAGGAGAGAACACAGTCCGAGGATGGTATTGCTAGATCTTTTTAGCTCCACTTTTGTGAAGGATTTCATCAAAAAGGAGATAATGACTTATGGGATCAGTATAATGAGTCAGTGCATTAGAGTACTCACATAGGAACACTAAGTCCACACTACCAGCCCAATTTTGCTAATATACTGATGGTTTCTCTTTAAAGCATCCCCTCAGTGCAAAAAGGAAGGATTCTGTATAGCAGGAAACTGGGGCTAAACTTTCCCCCCAATAAATCAAAAGTAAGGAGCAACTTTATGCTTCCCAGATGGTTCACTTTCTTCACCTTCTGTGAACACTATTTTAATAAAAACTGATTTTGAAAATTTTATCATATGTAGTACAGTGCAGAGCATAGCCTGTAGTACTCCCTTAATCCACAAATGGCAAATAGATAATGTACAGAAATCCTGTGACTTTGATAAAAAGATGAAGGATTTATCTTTTTTTTTAGCAATTCTTTCCTAATGTATAATTATTGTGGAGCACAAGTAAAATGTTGCCTTCAATTGAAATTGAATGCAAAATGATCTGACTATCCACTCTGTTTTCATGTCTCAATTTGTATTCTGCCTGTGGTCACCACAGCAGTGACAACCACCTACACAATCTTCACATTTCCTGGCCTTTTAGCAACAACGTTATAAAAGTGAGGGCTATTTTTTTTACTAATCAACCAAAGTGACAGAATATTTACTACGTACGGACAAGTTTGCAGTGACCCACTTTCATTCCAGCCCTGTTTGCACTTTGTACTAAGGAGTAATGAAAGGCAAAGTAACTTGTCCAATTTCACGTTGTCATCCCTGAAAGGCAGTGTTAACTGTTATGTCACATGAGTTTTATGCAAGGTTTGCTGTACTCATTTGCATCTTCCAAAGCACTGACTTCAGTACAGGTTTGTCAGCTGTCCGCCCGACCTCACTAAATATATGTCAGCTACACTCTTGATAAAGTGGAAGTAGCTTGAAAACTTTGTCAGAATGGTAGAAATATGTAGTGTGTGGTTCATACATATTGTTTAGCATCCATAACCTGAAGGTTATAAAATCTATTTCAGCCCCAGGCAGTATTTTCTGTGTCACTCACTGCTGGTAGGGAAGGGAAAGAATTACTGGCGGGAAGAACAGATTTATTTTTTTTCTTTTTTCTTTTCCAGAAAATGAAGGTTAATATTTAAGTATAGGTTACAAAGCTCATGTCTTTTTCATTAGAATTCCCTCAAGGGATAGGAGCTTGACTGACCTAATCAAAAGATCAACTTGCAATAACAAAAAAGTACAAAAAATAGAAAATCTTGCATGTTATTTTCAGAGAGGATTACTTGACATTATAACATCTTTATGTCATATTCTGTCTTTTCAAAGAGAAATATTCAACATTTTTTGCTGTTTCTTGGGTATACTTCATTTTTTTTTACAGTAGAACAGAAAATTACATCTACAAGGTACTGGGATGTGTTTTTTTTAATTTAGTGCGGTATACCTTGAAGTAATTTAGAAAAAATATATGGATGTTTCCACCAGAGCTGGTAAATCAAGACAGAAAAAAGAGAAATTGGTGTTTCACAAGCCTGAATACAGATTTACCAGACTTCACTTTTGGAGTGAATGAATTTTCCCAAACACAAAATTAGCAAAAGGATAGTTTTTTATATGAGTCAATTCTGCCTACAAAGTTACTCATATGCTAATCCAAACTCCTTTAAAATCCTGAAGACTATAAGCAGGACTTTACAGCATGGCAGTATTACAGCTTTTCAAATCCTCAAGGCATGGATCGCACTCTAGATCTCTCATGATGGCCTCGAGAGCCATACCCTTTGCAACGTTTGTATCGTGAGCAGTTTGTTACCAAACCACTCGCTTTCTATTACCTAAAATCAGGAACCTAGATAATTATTGATTTTTCATAAGAAAATATGACTAGATATTTCATGATAGTCCTCAAGGCTGAGGAATACCAGTCTTTGTCCCATGTGCATGGGAGAAGAGGGAACTATGTGGGAAGAAGAGGAGGAGGATGCAAGCTACTACAGAGAAGACCCCAGAACCTAGGACTGCCGAACAGTGTTTTCCTTCTTCTTTTCAGTCAACAATTGTTTTGGTGAGAGGGAAGGAACTGAGGTTGATTGACCTTTTTGCAGGAACCACTCATCTTGTTCTGAAGGATAGTCACACCAGTACCTTGAGATGATAGGAAAAGCAGCAGCAGCTGATACAAAAACCCACCTCTTCTCCTGTCCTCAACGCTTGGTTCTACCGTTGCCGTTTTGCCAGCACTAACATTTGCATAACTGCAGTGTGTCAGTTCAAGGAGCTGATAGGTTTTCTGATAAAGATAACTAAAACAGTTTTTATGAAATCTGAATCACTTTTTTAGGGTTAGCAGCAGTTCTTTCAGCTCACTGCGCTTTCTCCCCTAGCACTTTCTGTACTCTGATATCTTCAAGTTCATTTTCAGTTAGGCTCTTACTTGAAATGCTTAATTTGTAGCCTTAAATCCTCTGTGGTCAAGAGAAAGAGTATCCAGAAAATAACTCTGACTCCACTGAATTTAGAGAAGAGGCCCTCCAACTAGATCACATGAATTTATACCAAAGTGCTATTATGCATACCCTAGAAACCAATTTGGAAAAACGAGTAATATTATTTAAGATACCTTTTAACATGAAACTTCAAGGAAGTGATCTGTAAGTATTAGAGAGAGAAAAATTTTAGATTGAAACATACTTTTAATGAGATGGTTTACTTTTAATGATTGCTTAACCCATGATCAGGACAAAGCAGCTTGTTTGTTCCTGCATGTCCTCTATTTAGTTGTTTAAATACCATTAGTGCTTTTTCTCCAGCTCAGAGAGGGGTTTCTGGGAATCGGGTGAAAAATAACAGAAAGCCCAGCAAAAATGTGAAACCTCACAAACAATAATATATTAAATAGACCAAATTATTTCCCTCCACATTTTTCTTTCATTTTTAAAATATAAGCTATTCTTCTGTGATTTATGCTTTATGCTATATCAATATTCGAAGTTATCATTAATGAAAAACTACTTTAAGTGTGGTAAATTCCTTCTGAGGAATATAAATCAAGGTTACAGAAAATAGCAAGATTTTTTAAAAAAACTAACACATGGAAGTGTAAATAAACAAAACCTTTGTTTTCAGAAATATATCCAGCACTTTTAAACATCAGCAGTATCTTCATTTCAGCTCAAATTGACGTAAGTTCCCCCACCATTGGCCTCAATCAACAATAATTGGAGTTTGGTTTTTTTATAACCACTTTTTTCATCAGTTCATCTGGCCATCAACAAATGGATGTGTGCATTAAGAAAGAAAGAGAAAAGCACATTTTGAGATCAAAGTCCAAACTCACCTGGCAAAACTTTAAGGGGAATTTAAAAAGCAGGGACCAAACACTTAAGGGCTTTGAAGTACAGGAGGAACCGAAATAGCAGCACTGCCAAGTTGCATTTCATGCTTTTGCTGCTTAATACAGTGTATTAATTCCCACAGGAATACCCCTTTGCCAAGGGAGAACGTGTTTGTCATGTGGTGCAGCAGAACTGGTAGGGACCATGCCATAGTTATTTTTGCAGACTTAACGTGCAAAATACAATTACTATCCAAACTCATAATGCCATATAAGCAGTGGTGGAGAGCATTTCCAAACATGAAAAATATCAAAAGGGCGGAGTTATGCTCCCAGCTTTCTTCCACACTCATCAGGTTTTAATATCTATGTAGTCCTAATACTGATGTTTGGAAAATCGGATTTTCACAAGTTCTTTCTACGAAAACAAGCTTCAGTGCAGGAGCTGTGGGCTATCTACTGTCTTGTACATTGCATTCACATGAGGTGCAGTGTGCCCTGTGAACAAACGAACACAATGAGACCTACTGAGCTTCTTACAATTTTCCTCCTGGCATTCTAGAACCAGAATTTCACTACTTCAGTTGCATTTCCACCCATACTACTGTCCACCTGTGTAACCCTGGGCAAGTCACTTTTCCTTTCTGACCATTTCCCTGTTGGATCCTCAGCAGACCTCACTAACTGGATGATAAGGTCTCCAGGACTTGTGCTTAATACTATGTGGCTTTCATCACTGCAGTGTCAAGTCTGTAAAGATGCATTGCAAGTAAAACGAAAGGAATCTGACTGCCCAAGAGATAAGAAGCATTGGAGGTTCAATCCTAGTGTGTGAATAAATGGTTGTTGATTCTTTTTTCTTTCCAAGAAAGATGTGACTAGGTGTTACTTCAGATACCAACAGGGTTGGTCACACATTCAGCTAGCAAAATACCTCAGTGAATTACGCATATTTCAACAAGTTGTGACTACACCTAGATTTGCTATGTGAGCTGTAATTAACCTAAGAATTAAAGCAACAGCAATTTACCATAAGATAATGCAGGCACACAAAAAAGATATTTACATGAATTTTACAATCAAAAGAGTAGACTTAGAGTTGGCACAAACTGATATACCTTTGATCAAAGTTAACAGAGACACTTTACTCAAGTGAAGATAATGACCTCGAATGTATATTTTTGCATCCGGTCCTTTCTACATTATTTCTTTTTTAAATGGAATTCCTAGTGCAATTATAAAAGGTGAGCATTGTACTCACTAGTCTTATTTTCCTACAAACCCCTTGGGTTTTTTGGTTCACCATTTTCTGGGATACATTCACAAGAATGCTGTATTGTCCATGACCTTTTTCTCAGAGGAAAAGTTATCCAGAAATAATATGAATAACTTATTGTGAAATAACCAACTTCATAGAAAAGGTCAAAATGTGGAATAAATGCAAGTCGGTCTCAACATGAATAACGGTAAGTTGAATATAGGTTTTTGAATGGCACATTAGTGACATCTCCTGCTAGGGAAAATAGGGCCCCATGAGAATTACCTTACTTGTGTAGGTCACCTAGATACAGTAAAAAGAGAGAGTACTGCTTTTTTCCCTGCAAATGCTTGGTCCCTGAGGTCCCTGAGGAAAGAGACTAGTCAAATTCCTAGCTCTTTGACATTATCATATCAGTGCAGATACCAGAAATATGGATTAAGAACCACCAAAGATCATTTAGGGTGTGTATGTCTGAAAAGGAAGGGTGTAAACACACCATCAAAACTGCATTTACCAGAAACTTGTTTATAGCCAAGAACTAAAACTGAATCCACTTCCTTCTTTTTCTTCAGATAAAATTTTTCAGATGAATGAAAGATTTTTGCTGCCGTTCTGTTATTTCCTATTCATTACACTGATAAGAAATCTCATGGCTTTGAGTTGCACAGGGCCAAGAAGGGAATATTGCTCACACCACTTCTTAACTGATGCAGTCAGAGCTTTCCAGGATGAAGGCAGACATTCTGGTGACCTACCAGAAGATGACCTCTTCTTGAATTCTCTGAAATACCTTTGACTCCCTGCCAGTGTTCATCCTCTGCTCTTCCATCTTGTAGTTACATCTGCTTTTCCCAGTACAAAGCAATTCAACGTGCTTCAGGTAATACTGTGAGATTCCGAGTCTCGCCATTTTGGTGGACAGAGCATTGCTTGGCTGTGAGGTCAGGCTGCAATTCCTACATGTTTAAAAGGGCCTGACGATCAGACAAAAGGCAGAAATGGAAAAAAAAAAACGAACAACCTCCAGAGTTTAACAAGTATGAACATCTGGAAGCATGAGCTTCCCAGATATCTGTATTAATCCTTCATTTGGTCACTTGTTGGCAGGTTGGTTACTGGAAGGACATGGAGCAGGAAGAAGCAGCAGAAAAGGTCAAAACTGAGGGAAATGAATCATCCATCCTCCTGACAGGGTTAGAAGGAAACACATTATACCACCTAACAGTGAGGGCGTACAACGCTGCAGGGTATGGACCACCTAGCACTGCTGTGCGTGCAGCAACCAAGAAGTCCCGTAAGTGATTTCAGTACCTTTGCTCAAAGGGACAAGTCAGGGATCAGCCTCTGTCCTCTTGGGTTTTCCTTTAATAAAAGTGTGTAATAACCAGGAATCATGTATAGTTTTGATTCATGTCTTTGCCAGGATATTTAGACATCAATTCATATGACTTTGCATTCATAAAAAAGGTTATTTTCCTAGAAAACAAGGCATTTTTGACAAAGAAGGGAGAGAAAAGAGTTCAAGTTCATAAGCTCTGTGGAACTTATGGGGTAGGCTGAGTAAACACACCATAATCTATTAAATTACATTTCTGATGCAAAAAAAAAGTCTTTAAAAAATCCAGGTAGAGCTGGGAGCCTGCTAACACAACCAGATGTAAATGTAATGAAAGATTGAAATGTTTTTTTTTTAATTAAAAAAAAAAATTACCTATAAAATATATTTTTGTACATGTTATTTTTTGTTCTCAGCTCCCAGCCAAGCACCAGGCAATATTATGTGGATACAGGATGGCTCTCATGTGTCTCTTGGGTGGGAGCCAGTCAGACCTCTAGCTAATGAATCTGATGTAATGGGATACAAGGTCAGTGTTTCTCCTTCCTTGCTCACCTTTCTCTCTCTCACATGACTACTCTTCTTCCTTGTTGGCTTTTTTCCCTTTCTTGTTTCCCAGTGTATGTATGCTATACACGCTGCCTGCAATCATTTTTTCACCATGAAAAGCAATAAATAAAATTGAAGAGAGTGAAATGTCCCAACATTTTCTGTGTTGTGATTTTCAGCTACTGATTATAAACTGAGTAAGCTCTGAGGGGATCTGTTCATCTTATCTGACTCAGAAGTGGCTATTAATAACACCAGCCTGCGATGAAATTCCTACCAACGCTTCAATTTAACTGTGTTTGCAGTAGGATTTAGAGAAATTCAGAAGAATTAGGCATCTTAAAATTACACTAAAATTAATATTTTTATGGAGCAGAAACACAAATACTTCAATTTGTTTTGTGATCATGTTGGTGATGTTCAACATTCAATGATGATAACTTCTAGCATTTAAAGCTCTGAAGTTTTAAAGAGCAAGATCCAGATTAACTCTTAAATAGCAAATCATAAAAAGCAGTGGAATTCACTGCAATCTTTTACATTAAAGCAGAATTATTTCAATGTTTTTATAGAGGGGTGTGTGTGTTTTAAAGCATATATACAATAATTTCTATAGACTACAATCTGATATTCTTTCTGATACACCAGGAAATATCGCCAAGAAGTTGTAAAATGGTTCGGATAAACCAGAAACTCTTCTAACTTTTATCTGAATAGTTGAGATTCTGAAAAAGTTGAGTTGAATGCTTTTCAATTTTGTCTGGGAACAGAAATTGTTATGCAGAAGTACCAAAAAGACAGCTATGTACTTACTTGCTTTCCTCCCACGTGCCATAAGCTTGTACTGAGCTTCACCGGAGATGCAGGGACAGATCTGAACTATTCTCAATTGACTTAGCCCGGTATGGTAAATACACTAAGGACATTATTTAGGGCATTTTCTTTATATTTGAAATTGGGTTCTTGAGCCAAAAATGTGAATATCTACATTAATCAGGGGATAAGAATTCAAATCAAATGGAACCCAAAATACTTTTTAGAAGAAATTTTGAAGAAAAACTTGTGTAACACCTAATGCTGGAGAGGGCAAATGCTATATCTTTGCTCTGGATCATAATTAATGTTCTTTCACGTTCATTGATTCCTAATATATTTTGCTATTAATGTTTTGGAGCCATTAGGTTGAGGGGAGAGTAAAAGCAGATGCCTGTTAAAATGTAACGTCAAGAAATTCTTAGTGAAAACATGAAACGCGTAACAGTTCAGTGACTGCGTTATCGACACAAAATGTCTGGTATATAACTTGAATGACCACTATGACCACTATCTACTTCATTGACCATAGGTATTATTTAGACAAGAAGGACAGAGCAACAGTCAAGTTATAGAGACACAGAAAACCTCTGCAGTGGTACTTCTTCCTGATGTTGGTGTCTACATCATTGAGGTCTGCGCAGTCAGTGAAGGAGGGGATGGAACTGCGAGTCCCCAGATCAGAGTCCCATCTTTTTCAGGTAAGATTACACTTATGTTTGTAAAAGTGGTGACCATAGCAAGGCTCACTGACTCTACTATTCTCTACCTGAAAAAAATTTCTCACAATTCTCTAACTATTAGATAAAATCATTAATCAGAGTCTTAAATTCTATGCTGAAACAAAAGTATCTAGTGCCATTTGAGATGCTCAAGAGAATCTGAGGCATCCATGAGGGGCTGATGAACAAAGCAGAGGTTTTACAGGAAACTGCTCCTTTCAAGGATAACATCTGCAAACCCAGTTGGGCTGTAGATGTCTACACGTGTACTAGGTGTCTCAAATAGCATTATAGTCAGGTGAGATGTAATACATACGTGCTGACAGTGGAGCCTCGACAGCAATTCAGCTGATCTTCTGAATTCAAATATTCAGAACTAGGCACATAAGTACATCTGAGATATCCTAAAGTATCCGAAACATTTGCACAGATCTGACAGATACGATACGTGACTCAGAATACGTGCATCATTCGGGACCACAGCCAGAGGTACACTGTCTAACACAGCTAAAATGTCATGCATCTAGGTAGCTGAACCCTCTGTATCTACCTGCTTTAGAATAAGCTGAATTTCTCTGTAGGTTCCATTGGCTCCCTTGAGTAGAAATTCTTTTATTGAATTATTAAATACTTAAATATTAAATACTTTATATATATAATACATAATATTGTAGTATTAATTAAGTAGTTGTGGGAGTGCTGATCTGCTGGAGGGTAGGAA